GGGGAAGGGTTTAAGACGGAGGGAAGAGCCAGTGTGAAGGGTCTAGGTGAGGAGGGCGCCTGGCCTGCTTAATGGGTGATGGGCGAGTAATGGGAGACAAGGTAGAGGACAGAGGTGCACAGCTCCTGGACAGCCTCATGGGTCGTCTTGAATTTTACTCGGATTTAAATGGAGACCCAAGACCCACTGGAGACTTTTGAGCAGAGGAAGGCCAAATCTGACTTAGTTTAGAAAAGAATCCCGCTGGTAAGAGTTTAGACTAGACTCTGGTTGGTGGGGGTGGGGATGGGTGCTGGTGCAGGGAGACCAGTGGAGTAGGACCACAGCAGTAACCCAGGTGAGAAGTCTGCTTCAGGCCAGGTGCCAGTCGTGGAGGGATCAAGGAGTGAGCCGACTCTGAATGTGGGGGGTGAGAGGATTTTGAGTGTGGCCGTCTGCAGCTCTGTATAGAGACCTAGGTCTGAGAGACAAAAATTTGGGAGATAGTTTTTATTCAATTTAGTTTAAGTATTTATCGGGCCCTCTACCATTTACTGGGCACTAACCTGGACATTTCAGGTACAGATATTAAGGGGGGAAACAAACATACCAATAAAAAGTGAAGTTTCTAGTAAAAGTAGGTACAGAGGCCTCTGAGGATACAGATGATGGTGACTAATTAATGAAATCTACCTGTGGGAACAGCCAGGAGGCCTTAGGGAACAATCGTGCTGACAATGGAAGGTCGAGACTTCCTGTATGGTCATAGTTGGATATTCTGGCTGGAGGGAGATGTGACCATGTACAATTTCTGGTTTCAGAAGGTAAAGGTGCTTTGATATGCCTTCATTTGTAACAAGTCAGTTGACTGAACACCTGATACATCTCCCCCATAACCTGGAAAATACAAAGCAACACCTGCTACCATATACCTACCCATGGTCATATATGAGGCCCAGGAACCTTTACTCATGGGACTTTAAAGACTGCCCTTCATGTAGGTTGCAAGTTCCTTCTGGTTCCATAATATTTTATATTAGTGCATCTTTTCCTATGTCTTCTGTGCATATGATCTTTCTACCAAAGACAGAGCAGTAACCAGAGCACCCTACTTTCCTGTCTCAGGTAACGGAGGCTACAGCCGAACTTGGAGAAGAAAGCGATCCCTTTTTCTAAGCATGACCCCAAAATCGCCTCAGGGCAGCAACGGTAGAACTTGGAAAGTATTTTGTGAATCCATCTAGTACCGCCCAGATGAGATCAAGGTTCTCTGAGCTCCAGAAGTGCGGGTCGTGGGGGCGGGGGCAGGAGAGCAAAGGATAAGAAGAGACGCTATAGAAAGTTTGGTGGTGCCAGGGCCTGAGGAATGAACTTGGAAGGTCATCTCAGACAGGACTAGAGCCAGCATTTGAGGTCTGCCTGGTCTCCACTCCTGCCAGTGTTGCCCTTTCACCAGCTTGGCATGTACTGACCAACCATCAGGAGTTCTGCCTGCCTGTGCCCTAACCTTTATGTGGGCAATTCCCCTTTTTAAAAACTCCAGACACTGATAAGCACTCTTACTGCTTTAGCAAAGGGTATCTCCCCAGCTAGCCATCCAGAGACAGGACGGTCTTAGGGAAAGAAGGTCGTCTTATACTCGGGTAAAACAGAACAGGACCAGTTCAAAATCAACATCCACCTGCCTCCTGACCCCAGAATCTTTCTTCCTTTCATTCCCTGTGTCTTTGCCTGGAGAAGCTTGGTTGTTGAGCCACAGCTCAGCCTTGGAAAGGACTCTTAGTAACAGAATTTTCCACCAATTGGGTTCTTTTTAAAATGGGGGTGTCTTATGTGACATCTGTCACTCCAAAGTCTTTGGTCCTGTGTTTCTTAAGTCTTGGCCCTCTGTTTACTACTCTTTGTGCCCAGGGATCTTTTATTCTAGTGCTAAGAAGCTGGATTTAAGTTTAACTTGTTTAAACATTTCTTTCTGGGTATAAACTTAGCTTTGTGTCTGGGAGCCCTGTAAAAAAAGTTTAGTAAGCCCAAGCTGTTAGATAAATGACGTTCCAACTGGCAGTCAGCAATAAAGTAAAAGTAAGAAAATAGCACGACTAGCTGCTCCTTAGATCTCCAACAGCTTGGAACTGGACTTTTGTACTTTCTGCATGTGGTGACGGGGAGTTTGATGCTTTACAAAATGACACACTGAACTGTCTGCAGCAGTTTCTGGGCTGGATTTATTTTCCCTACAGTGGAATGCAGTGGGCTGGCCTGCATTTGACAGATGACCTGTGTCCAGGGCAGGGCAGTTAAAACCGGTCCCTAGGTCACAGGCAAGGACAGTCCTCAGGCTGGGCCTGTGTCAGGACTCCCCGCAGCCCTGCGCTGGGCTTCTGGACAAACCTCTTTTAACATGCCTGTGCCCTTGGTAAATTACTTCGTCTCCCTGTCTCCGTTTTCTAACCTCTAAAATAGGTCCTTCCTACTTGAAGCTGCCTTTTCACCAAGCCCCAGGGAGCAGGAGCTTGGGAGTTGGTTGCAAGTGGAGAGAGGCGCTGTTTGGTTGGCTGATCACGCTTTCCAAGCGATCTTGCTGGGGCTTGGTCCCGTGCTGGCGGGCAGCTAACTTTTTCGTTCGTAAGCACTGAAGATCTTTGAGGTCCTGCCTTCTTTTTGGGGGGTGGAGGGAGGCGGGGGTGGAGGCGGAGAGGAAGGAAGTGCCCTGCAACTACCAATATTTTCCTCTAGGAGGAGCCGCGCCGCCCAGATGAGAGTGACACGCACCAACTCCAACTCCTCGCCGGGAAACGCTGCATCCCAGCTTCTCGGAATGCGCGGCCGGGACGCCCG